TTGTTCCTACAAAGTTTGATAATGCTAAGACAGTAGCTAAACATGCCCAATCTCTGATCATAAATAGGTATGGAGTACCTAAATTTTTTATAAGTGATAGGGGAACACACTTTTGCAATAAAACCTTGGAGATACTGTTTTCAAAATACCATATTACCCAAAGGATTTCCACAGCTTATCACCCTCAAACTAATGGTCAAGCCGAAATATCTAATAGGGAAATTAAGCACATTTTGGAAAAAGTGGTTAAACCTGATAGGAAGGATTGGAGTTTAAGGTTAGATGAGGCTTTGTGGGCATATAGGACAGCTTATAAAACACCAATAGGCATGTCACCTTATAGGTTGGTTTTTGGAAAAGCCTGTCATTTACCAGTTGAAATTGAACATAGGTCTTATTGGGCTGTTAGGGAAGTTAACTTAGACTATGATGCAGCTGGAAAAGAGAGAAAACTGCAACTTTCAGAGTTAGAAGAAATAAGACTTGAAGCTTATGACAACTCTGTAATTTATAAGGGTAAAGCTAAGGCCTTCCACGATGCAAAACTCACTAGGAAACACTTTGACATAGGTGATAAAGTGCTGTTATATAACTCTAAATTGCATTTGTTTCCGGGCAAGTTAAGGTCTAGATGGCTTGGACCCTTTGAAGTGTTAGAAACCTCCCCTCATGGTGCTGTGGTAATTAGAGATTTCAATACTAATAAGATTTTTAAAGTTAATGGTCATAGATTGAAGGTGTATCACCAAGGTGAACAGGTTGCTAAGGTCGAGGACATCTTCCTCGAGGAGCCATGAAATGAGGCAGTAAAGTCTAGCCGGGACGACTAAACAGGGCAGCTTTCTGGGAGGCAACCCAGCACAAAAACAAAAAAACAGGCATTTTAGTTACATTTAAGTTTTCTTTTATATTCAGTTTTTTTTCTTTTATTTTCCTTGCACTCTTTGCATTTAGTTTAGGATCATTTTTAAGCTTTCATTCATTCAATTAGCATAACATGCCCTGAGGACAGTGCATAGCCTAAGTGTGGGGGTGTGCAGCTGTTTCTTAGCACTTGGATCCATGAAACCTTTAGTTTTTTTCTAACTAAAAAATCTGCACTTTAATTTGAAAAAAAAAGGCACTGATTTGTTTTTAAACAAGCTGCAGTTGATTTCATTCTAAATCATAAGGAAGGGTATAGTTTTATAAGAACATATTTGGCACCAGGAGTTATAAATCTGATTTTCAGACCTTAATACACTTCTGCATCTTTAACTTTCCTTATACCAGGCCTTGCACAGCTGCATTCTTGTTGTTTCTGAAGAAAAAAACTGCAGTTTCTTTTTTGAAGAAAAAAGACAGATTTGCAGCTTTTGAGAAAAAAAACAGATTTTTTTTTAAAGAAAGAAAAGAATTTTTGGACTCTTCATACCTGACCATTTTTAAAATAAAGTGTTTGCACCATTTAAGAGGAATAAAACTGGATCAGGAGAGGGAATCGTGTGAAGATTGAAATTTTTTTTTTGTACTTTCTGGAGCTGCCTGGTTTATGTTAATGTTTCTTATTGGCTCAAAATTTCAGGAGTTTTAATTAAATTTCTCAAAACAATAGTTTAAGTTCTTAACTTAGAAGAATTTGTTTAACCATCCAATTATATTAGTTGTTCAATCTTTAATTGTTTAATCAAGTAGAATGCTCCTTATTTAATAATTTTCCTCTCCTGATTAGTAATATAATCAACCTTTAGTCTAGGTAACATTCATGCACTATACTCTCAAAAGGATCTGCCTTCTATCTTCTATCCATCTTCTTATCTCTCCATGCTAAGTTTCTGAGTAAAATCTTAAGGATGATAATATCTAGCTAGAACTAGTAAAGTAGTTCTTTTAGAGGTTCTGTCTTTGAAGGGTTTTTGATTGATTTAGTTGAGGTCTGATACATCAATGATAGCCAAGGTTGAACATGGACTTGTCTCCGTGCTCGCTTGTTATGCATGCACTACCGTTGGGGGGGCCTAGTATTGCATCATTAAAAAACACAGGTGGATACGCAAGCTCGTGCATGTATAGCTTGGTAGCACATTTGCCAAAAAAAAAACAAAAAAAAAAAGAACTTCATCGAACAAATCTGATCTGGCTTGGGGACATTTAGCCGCATTGCCTGTGCAACGAAGCATGCCTTAATGTAGGATTTAGCCTAGTTGTGCACCATGTTTGGCCAAACAACGCTTGAGTAAGTAAGTGATGACTTCCTAAATTGATCACGAATTCCTTTTCTTTTTCTTTTACTAGCTACTCTACCTTACTCTAGCTGACTTTTTCATCCTTAAGGGACTTATTCAAAGACACTTCTTTTTCTTTTCTTTAAGACCTTGAAAGAATAGTTTCATTGAATGTCATTTAGAATTAATCCTTGATTATGCTACTGATTTGGGAAAGGAATGTTTTTAAACATGGAGCAATCTAAGTGATTTAACAAGTTTTGCTTGAATAAGTCTTCTAATTGAATGTTTAAATAAATTTCTCTTAAGTTAATGGTTGGGCTATTCTTGTTAGAAATTTAAGGAAGATTCGGTGTCAAGTTGAGTCAATATTAAGTTTTGACAGAGTCATACACCTCCAGCAAGTTCAGTTTTGAGAAGTAAAAGTATAAGAATCAGTCTGTTTTATCTACTTTGCACGAGGGCGTGCAAGAAGCTAAGTGCGGGGGCATTTGTTGAGTCCAAAATATTCACTAATTATTCTCTACCAAATCAGTATTTTCGGGCATTAAAAAGTGCATTTTTACACTTAAATGATCATATTTGCATTCTAGCCATCATTTATAAAATATGTTCATAATGCACACTTTTCAGTTTATTTTTGAATATTATTGTTGTGGACCCAAATTCTCCTTGACAAAGGTTATTAGATATATCTTTGGAGCATGAAGTGTGGGCTGAAAATGTGAAAGCAATCCAGTTGGGCTCTACCCCGACTTATGGTTTCAAAGGAAATCCAGGCCCAAGATGACAAAGCCCAAAGGTCCACCTCAGAAGTTGAGAGAAGATGCTTAAAAAAGGAGAAAAAGAGAGAGAGACGTGTGAGATAGAAGAGCCGAAGACTCCCTCTCCTACATTGGGTTGGCTTCTTCAAGCATAGCTGGAGCCGGAGAATCCGCAGCAAGAAATCAGCGTCAAGAACCCTAATCCAAGACGGAAGAGGGAAAGCCAGCGCCTATAAATTGAAGGAGACGCTGCGAATAACATCACCACCACCGATCAAGAGTAAAAATCAGAGCTAGAATCAAAGGGTATGAACCCTAAGGGGTTCGGATCTTATATCCGAAACCCCCTTAGCTTTCTTCTTCTTTAATTTTCTTTTTTTTTCCTCTCTGGTTGAATGTTTTCCCAAATAGTTTTCGTTGGGTTTGATTTTGTTTCTTTTAGTTTGGTTTGCCATTGTCTTGAGTACTGTCAAAATTTTGCTTCTGAATTATTGCGAAGTTTTTTTAAATTGATACAAAGGGTTGATTAATTTCGTCCAAGTATGAAGTTGATTTCACTTTTGCACTGTTTGAGTTCAAGTTTTCACTTCCAGTGCATTTCGAAAATGGTTCAAAGTGGTTTGGCAGTGAGCATAGCAAATTTTCTAAGGGAACTTTATTTAAAGTATTTCGTATGGTGTGGGGTCTGTTCTTGGAAAAAAACTACATTTGAAATCAGAATATTTTAAGGGAATAATGAAACTTTTGTGCTTAAAGTTAAACATGTCTATGTGTTTGAACTTTTCCAACAAGTTTATTATTCTTAAAAGAATTTAAGCTTTTGCTACTTTTAAACTAATTCAAAGGTGTTTGTGAACTATTTTTCAATTGATTTTACTTAAGTTGGGTCAAATTAGGATCGCGACCTAATCCAATTTAAAATGATATTCTTTTAAAGTCCAAAGTGCTTTAAATAGCCGAACTTTTCTAGAAACCAAGTGTCACTTGATAAACCTAGGCTGCCTCGTTAAGTGGTTTTTGCTAATCAAGGTTCTCAAACTGATTTTGTTAAATAACCTTCGTGTTACTGCAAGATTGTTACGGTGATGTTTTCCACAAATCTTAATGCACTATTCTTAGTAGTAATCTAAGGGTTGGTCTTTGGGTTGCTAAGGGTAGTAGGGTTTAGAGTTAGGGTTGGTCCTAACATGAGCTTTTATGAATGGGAAAATAGGAAAGAACCGTTGGTGGACCTCTTTTTCAGCCGGACCCTTGTTTTAATTTATAGTTGGTTGATGATTATGCCAGTTTTCAACAAAGTTTTGATCCTGGATATTTATTTTCTATATTATAAAACATTTTTGTTGGTTTTCTAAAATTGTTTAAGTCTCTAAATTATTGTGTTATGTGTGCTTGTCTTCTTCGTTTGGGTTTTTTGGTGGAGTTATGTTCTGTTTTTATCCTTGGTTTGTTTTGAGATTTGTTCTGGTGTGGTGTGTCACTTTAGTTAGTTTTTACTTTATTTAGAAAACAATTTTCAAACCCCCCCATCTTTTAATTTAGTTTATAGATTTTAGATAGTTGTTTTCACTCAATAAAAAGTGACAATACTGACAAAGTAAACCGATTTTCATAGCCTAAAAAATATCTTTCCTCGTGGGATCGACTCTTACTTATCCTATCTATAGATTTAATAAATATTATTTTTACAAGAAGGAACTAAGTAAAGGAAAAGAATAAATTAATTTGTAGGTGCTACGACACGCCTAACACTAATACTATGGATTAATTTTGAAATACATAAACCAATGTAAATATTATTTAAAAAATTAGAATCCAAAATAACATGACCCTTTAATTTAACTATAGTTTTGAAACAAAAAAAAGAAATAAAAAAACCCAAAAAAATTAACTAGATAAATTTGGTTAGAGATTAAAAATTAGAGATCTATTAAGACTCGCGCTTGAAGTTGTTAAATCTTCTTGAGACAGAATGGCAGGTAAGTCTGTTTACATTCCTTTCTCTTGCCCATGCATGGAAACCAAAGTTAGTAAAATCTTCTTGTTTTTACTTTGCAGATAAAATGTGGTGATTTGTTTGAAAACAGTGTGGTAGATGAGTTCAATCAATGAGTGTGCAGTGTCACGAAAGAAATGTGTACCACGTAAATCAGACCTAGGCGAATTTCCTGCTCCCAATCCAGTAAAGTGTTCTTGCCAAAAACTTCAGGATGAAAGATTTTGAGGGGAAATGGTTTATAACCAGTGGATTAAACCCCACTTTTGACGCATTTGATTGCCAAGTGCATGAGTTCCATGTTGAAGGTGACAAACTTGTTGGTAAATTATCATGGAGGATTCGGACACCTGCAGATGGAAGGTTTTTCACCCGGTCAGCTGTACAGAGAATAAGGCAGATGACTGTTACGACGCATGGGATTGATACGGCGGCGCTGTACTGTACACAAGGAGTGACATTTTCTCAAAACCAGTTCAGGGTAAAAAGGAAAAGGGAGAAAAATGAAAGAAAATCTATCCGAGTCGTTATGTTTGTTATAAAATTTCTCCATAAATTTTTCCTTATATCAAACACTTCAAAATCCATTTTTTTTATAGATTTAAAGACAGTAAAATTGCCTCAAACAACCTTGGAGCAGAGCAAGCAGCATAATAGATCATAAATTGCAGAAATGAAGAATCATTTGGTTCTCCAAATGTTGGCCATGAACATTTTTTTTCCTTTTGAACAATTTTATTGAACTCCATGAGGGTTAAACCATAAGGTTATTTTTTCCACTTGCCAATGTCTAACACATTGAGTCAGTTTGATATCATCTTTTAGTCCATCCTTTGACTCATCATCTTTGTAAATGTAACTATAAATCTATATCTCACTTGTAAAACAAGAAAGCAGAAAACAAAATTCAGGTGATAAATTGGAATATGGAAAACAGAAAATAGATGAAGGAATAAGAAAAACAAGCCAGCAGAAAAATAAAATCACTTGTGATAAATTGGTTATGACCTGGATCACCTGCAACTCAATGAAGAACATGACTACATGAACAGAGTAAGCAGCAAAGTCATCCAGTTGCTAGTAACATAATCGGCACCATTCAAGTTCATAGTCGAATTAAACTCGATTCATGTATAATTAATCTCAGCAACCTAAAGCTAAAAATGAAACAGCCATTAGTCACAGTTAACCCTACAATTAACGACAGGACTGCCAGAAAACACTCATGATCTGGACTTTTGGTCATTCTCTTTGATATTTAGAAGCATATGCAGCAGAGTGGACTCTGGCCCTTCTCGTAAGATTGACTTCAGTAAAATTTCGCAAGTTGCATCATCAGGCAAGAATCCAAATTTTAACATCTCATCCAAATGTAATACAGCATCACAATGCTCATTCTTTTTCAGTAACCCACGGATCAGTACATTGTATGCCACGCTATCTGGCATCACACCTTTTTTCTCCATTTTCATGAGCATGCCTTTTGCATCTTCTAGCAAGCCTTCTTGGCAAAGCCCACTTATCATACTTCTGTAAGTTATAACATTTGGTTGCAGACCTTTAGTGGGAAGGGCATTGAACAGTTCTATTGCACTGCATGATTTTCCATCTTTGAATAGTCCATTTATGACAGTACTATAGCTAATGATATCGGGGATAGGACTCTTAGCTTCCATCATCCTCAGTAAAGAAAGCGCTTGAGGAACACGATCGTTCTTGCAGAAGCCATCCAAAATAATATTGTAGGTGACAAGATCAGGATATTCTTGATTTTCTACCATCTTGTTAAAAAGCTTCTCGGCATCAGCGCATCTCCCAGCTTGAAATAAGCACTCCAACAGTCCAACATACTGTTGTAGGTAACAAGTGTTGGCTTTAGGCCAATGCTAGGGATTTCTTCAAACAATTGCATGGCCTTATCTGAACACCCACTCTTGCAGTATCCATTTATCAGAATATTGTAAGTGCAAATATCAGGGCCACATGCCCTATGTATCATGGTATTTAAGAGCTTTGATGCACTGTCCATCTTTCCTTGTAAGCAGTATCCATCCATCAAAGCATTGTACGTAACTACGTTGGGATCTACACCTTGTTGAATCATTGTCTCTATGATTTTTTCAGCATAGTTGGTATATCCTTCCTTGCAAAACCCACTAACCAATATGCTATATGTAAGGACATTAAGAGGAATTCTAGAGTCCACCATTCTTTTCAATAACTCCTTGACCTCTTCCCAACGACTCAATGTACATAGTCCATGAATTAGGGAACTGTAGGTGACAACATTAGGAGGAATGCCCTTTTCCCTCATCTTGGTTAGCAGGGAAAGGGCATCGTCCATCATTTTATCCTTACACAATGAATCAATGATGGTGGTATATGCATGTACATCTGGCTTGCAATGTCCTTTCTCCTCAAACAAATGAAGCAACTTAATAGCCTTGCCAGTGTGTCCTGCCTTGCAGAGGCCATCAATTTGTATTAGTAATGTGACTTCATCTATCTCGCAAAGTTTCCCATTCAGTAACTTCTGAAACAACCAACTAGCATCGTGAACCATACCTTGGAGGAACATCCCTTTCATTAAGGTGTTGAAGAAAACCACATTGGGAACCAAACCCAGCTTCAAGTGGCTCCCTAAGATAGCAAAACCCAAGTCCACTCTATGCAGACGAGCCAGAGAATTGGCAGCAATGCTCAGGGTGTAATTATTTATAACAACTCCAGATGAGAAGATATCCTTAAACAGAGAGACGGAATCACTGTAGTGGCCCATCTTCACAATGGCATTCAAGAGATGGTTGAATTGGACGGTTGGAGGAAGGGGATGAATCCGGACCATGTGACGGTACAATAGAATTGCATCATTAAGCTTATTGATACTCTTAAACCTTGATTTACTATGATGCAAGCATGAATCGTGAATATTAAGCCTAACAGCAACACCATTATGAAAAGAAGAGAAATGGGAGGGGAATCTGGGAAGGAAAAAAGAAAGGGTTTTACCATGGGATAGTCCTCCACATGCCGATTTTAAGATGTGCCTGGAAACGCAAGCACTAATCTTCATAGTTTTGCATAGCTCATCCAAAACCCTAACTTCTAAATTAGATTTCTTCAAGCCATCTTCAAGCCTAACTTCGAAATTTGCGAATGGAAGCTCCCAAAAGAGATGGGAAAAAATATAGCGAAGGCTAGAAATGAGAAAAGCATGAGGAAGTGTCTTCCTGTCATGAGAAAAACATCTGTAATCAACAAAGAGATGCCTTTCAATTTTCAAAATAAGAGCATGAAATGGAATGCCACACCACAAATATTTTAGCCAATTAAAATCAATCCAGTCATCGTGTGGCAAATGTGTGGAATTACATGCATTACAATGGTAAGTCACTCTTTTTATTATTTTTTATACCTTTTTAATGTATTTTAATTAATAAAAATGATTTTAAGTATTTATTTGATCATAAAAATACTTCTATAACATTTATTTAAAAATATTGTTTTTCCTTATTATTCAAAAAGATTAAAAAAAATTTATTTTTCCTTATTAAAAAAATTTAAAAATATGTTATCTAATTTATTTAAATGCCTTGCAAAAAATAAAAGCATTTTTGTATAAAAAAACATCAATCCATCCGTACCCTTTTCTTCTTATTCCAGTGATTGCTACATCACATTTCTTCAAAAAAAGGAAAAAAGATTCTACTTGCCTCGCACATGCCTCGCTCACCAGGGTGGAATGCCCATTCTTGATTCTTCTCATTGCTAATAGAGGAAGTATCTCATGTGGCAGAGCGAGTCAGAGGAAGACCTCGCCGCTGCATATGCTCTAAATAGCTAGTAAATTTCTAATGCTCAATCACTTTCTAAATTAGTGTGTAAGATTAATTAATTATCGAGATTGTATTCATTAGTTGAATTTCCAATTAACTAATAATGGTCCCTCGACTAATGACCGTTAGAAGGCGTTAAAATGATTTTAGATCTTATACTACTTTCCAAAATAATACTTTTTAACTAAGTATTTTCTCAAATTAGTCTGTTTCCAAAAACAAATACATTCATTATGAAAAATATTTGAATTTTATAGGATAAAAATATAAAATAAAAATTATAAATATAGTAATTTTTAATACTTGAAAGCAAACATTTAAAATTATTTAAAAGAATATAATGTAAATAAAATATTTAATAAACATTAAAAAAATCACATGAAATAAGAGTAAAACATAGAAAAAGGGTTCTTTATTTTGTACTTTCTCTTTGTTTTACTCCTATTTAGAGTGATTTCTTTAATATTTACTCCCTCCGTCTCCCAGTTTTTATCCACTTTTGACTTTTGGAACTGTTCATCCAAGCACTTTGACTCATCAAATTCTCTCAATGTGTAAACCTAAATGTAGTCATGTGTGATCTTGTTTGATTTGTCTTAACATATATATTATTAATATATAATTTCTTTAATTTTTTAATATACAAATTATAGGATAAAATGGATTAAAGAAGTGCATTGAATGGTGTGTAAAAATGAAAGTGGAAAAAACTAGAGGACAGAGGGAGTATTAAATATTTTATTTGCATGATATTTTTTAAACAATTGTAAATAATATAAAACATTTCTTTCAAATTTATAAAATTGTATTTAAATTTTTTAGTATATATTCTCATCCTAAAAAAATTATAATATTTTTCCATATTTAATCTATTTTTATTTTGAAAATAGACCAATTTTGGAAATACACCAAGTTAGAAAGTATTTTTTTGAAAAATTAGTATAAGGTTTGATGTTATTTTAATGTCGTTTTTATGGTGTGAGAGACTTAAATGAACATTATTCTTAATTAGCAAGAATCATCTCAATGATTAGTTAATTTTGGAGGCTAATTTAAGGAAACACATAGTTATTTAATACTGTACTATTTTGAGAACTTACTTATAATAAAATGATTTTTGTAGTTTATACACGAGTTTTTTATTTGTGTAGCAGATACAATTTGGCATTTTATGGCTCCGTTTCATTCGAGTTGATAAATAGAAATGAATGTTAGAAAAAAAGAGAAGAATTTAAAGAAATTAAGAGTTAGAACTGGGAAGAAATTGGAAAGAATTTGAAAAAAACTAGAAGTAGATTTAAAAACTAAAAAGAGATATAAAAAACCGAAAGTTGGAAAACACTAGAACGAGTTATAAAAACTAAAAGAAATTGGAAAAAACTAGAAGAAGTTGGAAAAAATTGTAAAGAGTTAAAAAAATGAAGTCTTGAAATAATTATTATATTTAATGAATTACATATTTTATTTAAAAAATTTATACCATTATTTTTAAATTTTCTCTCTTTTTATTTTTCTCTATGTGAGTATATTATTGTCCCAAATCATAGTAATTTTGAATGACTCATACTCACTCTTAATATATTTAACAAAAATAAGAGGTGAATGAAGCAATACCTTTTATAAATCTTAATTAAAAGAATGAACATAAATAATCTAACGGTGCCTCGACCAAATAAAAATAGTTGTACATCGCGTTTTATATATCAAAATAATAACAAAAATGATTTGGGACTAACGATCAGCAACTTATTAGCTTTACAAGTGTGTCCAGCATTGCACCAGAAGCCATAAATTAGTATCAATAATTTGATCTCAGCTCATACAGTTTCTTATTCAATAACTTCTGAAAGAACCATATAGCATCTTGAGTCCTATTTTGAAGAAACAACCATTTTATTATGGTGGTGCAAAAACAAAAGCACATCAGGTAGGAAGCTCCCTAAGATGGCAAAACCCAAATCTACTTGGTGTAAATGGGTGTGAGATGGAAGAGTGTGAAAGAAAAGGAATTTACCGGGCGATAATCCACTGTTTGCCCCGTTCAAAATGCTCCCACACACTTTTAACCACATCCTCTTTCAGTAGCCATAAGTAAAAGATTGCATAGACATAGAGACACATGATTGATGATGTAATGCATAAAAAGGGGTTGTTCATACTATTGGCTAACATTTGTGGTGTAACTAGAATCTGCAAAAGGGTGTACTTCCTTTTCAGCTGTTGAGGGCAGAAAAAAGGGGTTTAGTTCTTTTTTTCCAGGTTTTAGAGTCTGCCATTCAAAATAGAGGATGAATCAGACTGGAATTTGGTACAGAAAAAGATTCAAGATCTGAAACTTTCATCATTCTCTATGATATTCAGAAGCGTATGCAGCAGAGTGCAATCTGGTTCTTGTAGTACGATTGATTTGAGTAACATTTCACAAGTTGAACTGTCAGGTGAGAATCCAAGTCCCGACATCTCCTCCAAAAGTAATACAGCATCGCAATGCTCTTTCTTTTGCAGAAATCCACGAATCAGTTCATTGTATACCCAACCATCCGGAGGAACACCATTTTTCTCCATTTCCTTGATCATATCTTTTGCATCTTCTACCAAACCTTCTTGGCAGAGTCCTCTGATCATAGTTTTGTAAGTTATTGTGCCCGGCTGCAGGCCTTTAGAGGGAAGGGCATTGAGTAGCTCTATTGCACTGCATGATTTCCCATCACTGAACAGTCCATTTATGACAGTGTTATAGGCAATGATATCGGGGATAGGACCATTAGCTTCCATCATCCTCAGTAAAGAAAGCGCTTGAGGAACATGATGGTTCTTGCAGAAGCCATCCAAAATAATAGTGTAAGTGACAAGATTTGGGTATACTTGATTCTCTACCATCCGGTTAAAGAGTTTCTCGGCATCAGCACATCTCCCTGCTTGAAATAAACCCTCCAACATGCTGCTGTAGGTCACAACATTAGGAGAAATACCCTTTTCCATCATCTTGTCTAGCAAACCAAGGGCATCATCCACCATCTTATCCTTGCACAAAGAATCAATAACTGTGTTATATGCGTATACATTCGGCTTGCAGTTTCCCTTCTCCTGAAATAAACAAAGCAAGTTGATAGCCTCGCCAGTGTGTCCCGCCTTGCAGAGGCCGTCAATGAGTACCAGCAATGTGACTTCACTTAGATCGCACAGTTTCTCATTCAACAACTTGTGGAACAGCCAAATGCCATCTTGAACCCTAGCTTGGCGGAACAACCCTTTGAGCAAGGTGGTGAACAAAATGACATCGGGCACGAGGCCGAGCTTGAAGTGGGTCCCTAAGACAGCGAAAACCAGATCCACCTGATGCAAACGGGTGAGGGAGTTGGCAACAATGCTCAGTGTGTACTGATTTATGGCAACTCCAGATGCCAAGATCTCCTTGTATACAGAGATGGCGTCACTGTAGCAGCCCATCTTCACAATGGCATTCAAGAGATGATTGAATTGGAAGATATGGGGAAAGGGTTTCATCCGGACCATGTGACGGTACAGTAGAATTGCATCGTCGAGCTTCTTGACACTGGTAAAGTTTGAGTCTTTGTGATGCAAGTATGAATCGTGAATATTGGGCATAACAGAGACATCATTGTGAAAAAGAGCAGAGAAAGGGAATTTGGGGAGGAATGGAAGGATGTTACCCGGCCAATTCAAAAAGCTCCCACCCACTATTAATCGCATCCTCCTTCCTCGCCAATTTCCTGTATTTCTTCTTCTTCTTCTTCTTTAGAGAGGGAGAGACTCTATTGGACCTGGAGTGAAAATTTGGTCGGGTTGTGTTTTTGAACGGGGAGATAAATGTAAAAAAGAAATAATTCCACCATCCACAAATAAACTTGTTATTCACTATTTATAGGGTCAAATTTTATTAATTTTGTTGACTTATTTTTCGTCACTCATTTGATAAAATAATATAGTCATGTCATCTTTAGTTTTGTATATCTTTTGATATAATTTTTTAATATGTAATTTTTATTTTTAAATTTTACACCGTTTTTCATATAAAATGATTTAAAAATAACTTCAGTCAAGCATCATAACGCGCAACGGAAAGTTTATTTGTGGACAGAGGGAGTACAGTAAAATTATCACAAAAAAATACATCGTACTTTTAGGCATTTTCCCAAAATAATTTTATCTTTTACGCTATGTTTCGTTCAAGAGTGAAAGGAAAAAATGAATATCAAAACGTTTTTCCTGTTTTGATTAGAGAGGAAAATGAGAAGAAAATGAGAAGACAAAATGTACTAAGAAGTTAGAAAACCAAATATTTCTTATTTTGGTTAGAAAACTGATGGAAAATCATTTTCTTTTCTTTTCCTTCCAAAATCCTTGAACCAAACATAGGGTTAAAGTAATGCGTAAATTTAATTCAACCTTATTTGGGGTCACCGTTAGGGAGGTAACAATGACCTAGCAATTTTTTAAAAAATGTTTATTTTGTGAATAAAAATGAAATGTGAGATTATTTAAGGTAATTTTATTTTTAATTTAAAAAAAATTAAAAATTGAAATTATGTTTTAAAAAATATAAGAAAATATTCTTGTCTAAGCTTTGTGTGTATTTTAAAAATGTAACGACTCACGACTTTGTAGTGTCGTTTTACGAAAAATATAGTTATGTATTAAAAGGAAAAATAATTTGTAGTGTCGTTTTAGAAAAAATTAATATGGGGCATAGCATATAACTATCATGGATGAATTAGACTATCATGGATGAATTAGACTATCATGGAGTAAAAGATTCACATGTCGGCCCATGATGAGTATGAGAAGGTTCATAGTTCACAGGTAGATTTTAAGTTTATGGAGGCACAACTCGTTTAGAAAACAAGTAATGAATTGCCGAAAAATTTAGTTCCATTTTAGGAATAAAAAATATTTTCTTGGTAATTTATTCAAAAAAATTCACAAAACATTTATAAAGTTGTGAAATTAGCACTATAATTTTTAACATTATAAGAAATAATTAGAATGAGCAATGTGGAAAATTTTTGTTATTAAAGTTTGTTCTCCGAAATGACACTTAATAAATTCATGGCAATTTATTACAATATTTTTTTCATGAAACGACACTACAAATTGTCTTCTCTATAATACATTGCTATTTTTTCCCAAAGATACACTACAAAGTTACAAACCGTTTATATGTTAAAACTCAAACACAAATCTCCAATAAGAGCGTACTGTCAACACATCGATATGCCACTTTACCCGAAGACGGAAAGAAGGCAACATCGACAAAAGCATCTGAAAGTGTCACGGTTGACACCCCCAACAAGTCGTCAAGTTTTTAATTGAATACGGAGTATAACATAATCAGTACCATTTAAGTTCACAGTGGAATTAAACTTGATTGAAGTAAAATTCATTCCAACAACCTAAAGCTCAAGATGAAATAACCATTCAAGAATGGTGATAAAGTACAATTAAACCTAGTTACAGTTAACTCTACATTCAAGACCTGGACTTTTGGTAATTCTCTTTGAATCTAGCCCTTCTCGTAAGATTGACTTCACCAGCACAGTCAAGTTCACTGTGGAATCAAACTTTATTCAAGTCACAGCGACCTGAAACTCAAAATGAAACAACCGTTCAAGACTGGTGATAAAGTACTCTAAGAAGTATTCACAGCAAGCCTACATTCAACCGAGGACTGTCAGAAACCGACAAAATGATCCATATTGTTCTCGAACTATATCTATGAAACAATGTGTTGATGTCTTTTGTACGGACACATCACAAAGGCAACATGCCTCATGTAAAAGATAAGGAAAATAGTTGAGCATTTGACAAAAGATGAATCATATGTTTTAAGAACTGATCTCTGTGACTCTTAATTATATACTCCTGGAAAATTGTCATGATCTGGACTTTTGGCCATTTTCTCTGATATCTAGAAGCGTATGCAGCAGAGTTGAATCTGGTCCTTCTTGTAAGATTGACTTGAGTATAATTTTGAAAGTTTGATTGTCAGGTGAGAACCCGAGTCTTGATTTCTCCTCGAAAAGTGATATAGCATCAGAGTGCTCATTCTTTTTCATTAACCCAAATATCAGTTCATTGTATACCACACTATCTGAAACAACACCATTTTTCTCCATTTTTCTGAGCATATCTTTTGCATCTTCTAGCAAGCCTTCTTGGCAAAGTCCACTTATCATACTTGTGTAAGTTAACTTATTTGGTTGCAGACCAATTGAGGGAAGGGCATCAAATAGTTCTATTGCACTCCATGACTTTCCATCTTTGAACAGTGCATCTATGACAGTGGTGTAGCTAACTATATCGGGCATAGGACCTTTAGCTTCCATCATCCTTAGTAAAGATAGAGCTTGAGGTAGATGATGGTTCTTGCAGAAGCCATCCAAAATAATATTGTAGGTGAAAAGATCTGGATATTCACCATTTTCTATCATCTTGTTAAAAAGCTTTTCAGCATCATCACATCTCCCTGCTTGAAATAAACTCTTCAAGATACTGCTGTAGGTAACAACATTTGGCGTTAGCCCAATGCTAGGAAGTTTTTCAAACAATTCCATGGCCTGATCTACACACCCACTCTTGCAATATCCATTTATTAGAATATTGTAAGTGTGAATATTAGGGTCGCATCCCCTACGAATCATGGTGTTTAAGAGTTCCAATGCACTGTTCATCTTTCCTTGTAAGCGGTATCCATCCATCAAAGCAGTGTACGTGAATACGTCGGGATCTACACCTTGTTGAACCATTTTCTCTATGATTTCGGCAGCACCGCTGACCCATCCTTCCTTGCAAAACCCACCCACCAATATGCTGTATGTATGGCCATCGAGAGGAATTCTATTGTCCGCCATTCTTTTCAATAACTCCTTGACCTCTCCCCATCGACTAAATGTACATAGTCCATGAATTAAGGAATTGTAGGTCACAACATTTGGTTGAATGCCATTTTCCATCATCTTTGCTAACAGGACAAGGGCATCATCCACCATTTTATCCTTGCACAAGGAATTAATGACGGTGCTATATGCAAACACATTTGGCTTGCAATTTCCCATCTCGTTAAACAAATTAAGAAACTTAATAGCCTCGCCAGTGTGTCGTGCCTTGCAGAGGCCATTAATGAGTACAAACAATGTGACTTCACTCAGCTCGCACAGCTTCTCATTCAATAACTTGTGAAACAACCAAATAGCATCGTGAGCCCTACCTTGACGGAACAACCCTTTGAGTAAGGTGGTGAACAAAATGACATTGGGTACTAGGCCGAGCTTCAAGTGAGTGCCTAAGATAGCAAAACCCAAATCTACTTGGTGCAAATGGATGAGCGAGTTGGCAGCAATAGTCAGCGTGTACTGATCTACCTGAATGCCAGAAGCACAAATATCTTGAAATACAGAGAAGGCATCACTGTAGCGGCCCATCTTCACAATGGCATTCAAGAGATGGTTGAATTGGACTATTGGGGGAGGGGGATGAATCCGGACCATGTGACGGCACAATAGAATTGCATCGTCAAGCTTCTTGATGCCGGAAAACCTTGATTTACTATGTTCTTCGTATGAATCGTGAATATTGGGCCTAACAGCAACATCATCATGAAAAGCAGAGAAATGGGAGGGGAATCTGGGGAGGAATGAAAGGATGTTACCAGGGGATGATCCTCCACATGCCGATTTGAAGATGTGCCTATGAACACAAGCACTAATCTTCATCGTTTCTTCTAAAACCCTAACATCGATATTAGAACTGTCCGGCTCGGAATTCTTAGATTTTTGAACTTATGCTTTGTATCTCACATTATTAATTGTAGAGGGTTTCAAGTACCTCGAAAGAGCTTGACTAATTTGATTAGCTCAATAAGGAGTATTCATTTATGAATAACTGAAAATTTATACTCCCTCCGTCCCGGAGTATTCGTCCAGTTTTGACTTTTGGAACTGTTCATCTAAGCACTTTGACTCATCAAATTTTCTCAATGTGTAAGCCTAAATATAGTCATGTGTGATCTTGTTTGATTTGTCTTAACATATAGATTATTAATATATAATTTCTATAATTTTTTAATATACCAATTACAAGATAAAATGGATTAAAGAAGTGTATTGGATGGTGTATAAAAATGAAAGTGGACAAATACTTTGGGACAGAGGTAGTATTTTCAAAATTGAATTGATCGAAAATAAGTACTCCGTATTCAATTCAAATAAATACTCAATTACTAAAAATGAATATTCATTCAATGAACAAGAAATACCGTATATTCGGATGTATGGTACTCTTAAATGTTTAGATTCAAATATTTATTTACAATATTTGTTTACAAAAATTTATACATTTAAAAACGAAAATGTTACGGGTACTTTTCTTTAGTATACAAAATTATTTTTATTACTCGCTCCGTCCCAAATTATAATGTCTGTTCACTATTCACAGGGTCAAACTTCATTTATTTTCTTTCTCTATTTTCGTTAGCAATTTGATAAAATAAAATAGTATTGCCACTACTAGTTTTATAGATCTTTTGATATAGTATTTTGATATATAATTTTTATTTTTTTAACTCTATATCATTTGTTATATAAAATGATTTGAAAATAATTTCAATCAAACATCGTAAATTGAAACTGGCGTTAAAAAATGGGACGGAGGGAGTACATTTCACTTGATATTAAAGATAGGGGTTTACGTATTTTAAATTTGTTATGTTATACGGAGTAGTTTTTATATAAAAAAATTAAATTAAAAATCTCAAATGATTTTGAACTATCTAGATTTGGAAACGAATACTCCATCCGTCCTAAATTATAATGCCTGTTCACTATTCACAGGGTCAAACTTCATTCACTTTCTTTCTTTATTTTCGTTAGCATATTGATAAAATAAAATATTATTGTCACTACTAGTTTTGTAGATCTTTTAATGTAGTATTTTGATATGTAATTTTTATTTTTTAATTCTATACCATTTATCATATAAAATGATTTGAAAATAACTTCAGTCAAACATCGTAAACCGAAACAGGCGTTATAAAATGGGACGGAGGGAGTAAGACAAAATATGAAAACCTCGTATCCTAAATTGTTCTAGAAAATTACTAACAGGTGATGCGAGTTTTATCGAAATAACTCACGGGTCCCTCTATTTTCAAGAAGACAACGGACGTCCATACATTCTGTTGTAATAACTTGGAGGAGATATTTCATCCAATATTTCATCCATAAATGTTAATAAATGTATTTTTCTCTATTTTTTTTCTTAATATTTTATGGTAATACTACCTCCGTCCCAGAGTATTTGTCCATTTTCATTTTTATACACCATCCAATACACTTCTTTAACCCATTTTATCTTGTAATTTGTATATTAAAAAATTATAGAAATTATATATTAATAATCTATATGTTAAGACAAATCAAACAAGATCACACATGACTATATTTAGGCTTAGACATTGAGAGAATTTGATGAGTCAAAGTGCTTAGATGAACAGTTCCAAAAGTCAAAACTGGACGAATACACCGGGACGGAGGGAGTAACTCTTAGGTCGCTCATTTTTTATTTTTTGTTACTCTTTTTTAAAGTGTTTTTTTAGAATTTCTTCTATAAAATCATATAAAAATTCAAAACTTTTTGTATGATATAAAAATAAATGAAATAAAAATTTTCTAAAAAAGGAAAAACTGAGTAATGACAAAATAGGGAAAAAATGGTAATGGCAAATTGGAAAAAGTACATTTATTTACGCTTATGGATGAAGTATTGGATGAAATGTTCACTCCTAGTCATTACAATAAAATGTAAGGAGCTCTGTTGTCTTCTTGATAATAGAGAGACCTAAGAATAATTTCGACAAAACTCGCGTTACCCATAACTCCATAAGTAATTTTCTGAAATTGTTCCAACTTGTTTCTATGAAAGGGATTGGGGTAATTAAAACCATAAAATTACTCCGGACTACCGTTGATTTTCTGGTAATGACTCTCAGGTCACACATTATCTGAAATATACTCCAAGATACCCGTAATTTTTTTTGGTAAGAAGTCTCGGATCCCACATTATTTGAAATATACTACGGTGGTCCTTAAATTTAGTGGTAATGTACTCTTTGGATATATTCTGTCTATTTGACCTTGAGGATTACAAGTTTTGGTATTTTGACAAATATTAATTTTTAGCTTCATAATCATTATTTTACTAAATTTAAATAAAACCCCCCAGTTTATCAAAGTTAAAGAACTTTTAATCCTAATGCCTAAATGAACTTTCAATCCTAATACCCAATGACTCCCAGGTCCCACATTATCTGAAATGTATTCTCGGGTACCCTCAATTTTTTGGGTAAAAACTTCTAGATCCCACATTATTTGAAATATACTACGGTGGTCCTTAAAATTAGTAGTAATGTACTCTTAAAGTATATTCTGTCTATTTGACCTTGAGGATTAAAAGTCTTGGTATTTTGACAAATATCAAATTTTAGCTTCATAATCATTATTTTATTAAATTTAAATAAAATCATTCAGGTTTTCAAAGTTAAAGAACTTTCAATCGTAATGCCTAAATGGACGGAATGTATACTCGAAGAATAATATCAAAAATGGTCCTTTACAATAAAATGTTTTCACAAATTGGTCCTCAATAAGCAATAAGTACCAATGTAACGCAATCCGCCCCTTTGTAATTGAGGTTTATTTTGAGAATAATTGTCTGTCAAAAGTGTCTATTAAATAGCTTTTAAATAGAAGGTATTTTGATATTTTTTATCATCTAAATTATGAATAAGTTTTCAAAATGATCCTTTCAAATTAAATGGGTCACCTGCTAAGGGAACGGATCTTCCTTGAGTAAGCTCATGGACTCTATTTCAGGAAAATATTGCTAGAAATTGTCAGTTTGAAAAATACATCTTTATATATAATTTGAGAGTTGGCTTCTAGAATTGTGACATGCTGCATGCTTATTGGAAAATTTTTTGAGATGTCAGCACGCCATGTCATCAAGTAGTACTTAAAGAATTAGTTAACAAAAATATTGTTGTAAAATATTTAAATTAGATAATATATTTTGAAATTGAAAAAAAGAACTCATATCCAAAAACAATAATCAAAACAAATAATTTTTTTAAACAATGGATGGATTGGTAGGATTGAAGGAAATTACTTGTGAATGTTTGTTTTTACATTGAATTAATACTCATTGGAGAGATTTTTAAATTTTGAAAAAAGAGATAGATATATAAAAGGAAAGAAATTTTTATAGGCATGTTTATTTAATAGAGAATTAATTTTATTCTGTATATGTTAAATAAGAATTATGTTCCATTAAAAATTAGCAGTTTTTAAATTATTATTTTTCATTCCTAACTTTGTAAAAAAAATTATAGATTCATGCTACAAAATTACTATTTTCCATTAATAACTTTCTTAAATGACAAAGACTTTGTATTGAATATTTATGAAGAAATCACCATAAATAGGACTAAAACATAGAAATAAATACCAAAATAGGAGTTTCATATTTTTTTCCCTAAATAGGAGTTTGTATTGTGTTAATGTAACACTGTACACGTGCATTTTACGAAATGTACATGGTCGTGTTGGTAATGTCTTCTGCATGGATCAACTTGCAAGCAGTCTTTAGATCTAAAAAGAAAGACAATCACATCTTCGATTCACAAAGTAAGTAAAATATCGTAAAAAGTAATGGCATTTCACTTTCCCGGACAAGGCTCTTGCAAAATCATATCTCGCTTAGTCGCTTGCACATGAGGGGCGTGTTCGAGTGTAAAACATATCATGATCATACAACCACAAACTCAAACTCATGGTTGTAAGCCCATGATATATTTTATACTCTAACATGTTTGTAATACCCCGCGTTAATATGGAAATGAAAAGAGCTCAAAAAGATTGATTAATGAACACGAACCTTAGAAATGAACACAAACCTTTCTTTGATTCATTAAATATCTTTCATTTTTCAATAATTTTTATAGTTTTTTTATTAACGCAAACCTTAAAAATGTTTTAAACATCGAAAAAGTAAAAATAAGGCAAAAAGATTAAAATATGAGTAAAACATTGAAAATATATCAAAATAGGAGTTTCATAATTTTAATTTCACAATATGAGTTAAAATACATTTAAATTACTAATCATGATCATGTACATTATATAAAATGCAAATACAGAGTGCCACATTACCATAGTGCGAACTCCTGTTTCATAAATAAAAACATGAATATTCTATTTTGATACTTTCTCTATGTTTCAGTTGTATTCTTTAAAAATAATATTCCACGTTATGTTGATTTCCGGCCGTTAATGCGGAGATACGGTGTATTATACTTTTTTTCGACTCAAAATATTTGTCACATGATGACGAAGTAAAATAGAAATAAGATTTATACATTTAAAAAAATAAAATTTATATATTTAAAAACTACGTCAAAAACTTTTCAAAACAAATAGTGACAAAAAAATTTGTCATTACAAACATCATGTATAGGGAAAGTCATTATCCCTCAGACACAATTATTATTTGTACAAATATGTAAAGCGTTTGATATCAAATTTTAATGTTAAAGTGTCAAACACACTGAAATACACTTATCAATTCTCTTTTGACGAAAAATATATTAGTATATACAATAAATTATAATATAAATTTATATGCTACATAACATTTGTATTGAGTACTATTGCATTATTACATTTTCATTCAATACTCTCCTCATCCCAATATAAGCTTCGGGGTTTAGCTTCATGGAGGGAAAGAA